GGGTATTTATTTATTTATTTTCAGACAGAGTGGGAAGGAGAGGAAGAGAGGGAGAGAGGGATAAGGGTGGGAGGAGAAAAAGAGAGAGAGAGAGAGAGAGAGAGAGGAGAGAGAAACATCGATATAAGAGACACATTGATTAATCGATTAGCTGCCTCCCATATGACCCTAACCAGGGCTGGGGACCAAACTGCAACTGAGGTATGAGCTCCTGACTGGAATCGAACCAGCAATTCTTCAGTCCAAGGGCCGATGCTCCAACCGCTGAGCCAAATCGGTCAGGGCATGTTCTCCATTTTTAAAAAGTCCAATAGTCACCGTTCTGAAACTCTAAGACTGAAAATTTTATGAAAACTCTTTTGGTGGCAAAACCTCCCCTGAACTGACATGAGGATTGGAGGCTTGTAACTATCACATGTATCACAGCAGAACGATTAACGTTTCATTGCCATGGACCATCCCAGCACTCTGGGATATTAGGAAGAATACGGTATATGTACCATTTCCTTTCTTATATATCTGAACATTTCTGAATCTTGAGAAGCTTCTGACTCCAAGAGTTTCATTGAAGGGATTTTGAGCCCATAAATTAGATATCTATTTTATAGAGTCTCTGCTTAGAATGCCCTTCACTCCTCATTTGTCCAGAAAACATCCAAAAATATTTCAAATGTCACCACGAATGAATAAATAGAGGAAGAAATCAGGGTTGTTTCTGTTGTTGTTGTTGACTGGGAGGTAGGTGCTTCCCTACATAGCTTGTGTAAGTATTTACTGACTATCAGGAGTCTTTTGATGCAAGAGAGTTGAGAGTGTAGTGAATAAAATTGCCTGAAAACTTCCCACACCCCAACTAGGTCCTTTACTATGGGAATGAGGGAAACACACAGACCCATGTACCTGCAGCTGGCAAGCCACAGTGGAAAGAGTCTCCATGAAATTCACAGTGAAAGGAGACAAAAACTCACTGGACCTCAACAACAGGAAAAAGGCACAATTTTGCCTTCTGATTTCACAAACTGACTTAAAAGGACCCTAGCAGACTCCCCCAGGGGAATCTGTATTGGTCCTAAATTAAGTTGAATTTTCTGTTTTGTTTTGAGAGCACACTTTTGGAAGCAGCTTGCAGGCCTAGCAGTGTTTCCCATTTAGAAAGAAAAATAAACACTCCGCCATTGGATCGCAAGTCAAAACAACAAGCCCAGCAGCTTAAGACCCGAGAAAGTCAAAGAAACTGCCAAACAACAGTGGTGCGGGACTGTGAACAGCCCGAGAAAGCTGTAATGTAAAGCAGGGAGGGCCAGTGCTGGGGGAAGAAGCCACGGACAGTCCAGCATCCAGGGCTCGGCTCTCAACGGAGCACCACCAAGATTTAGTGTCCAAGTCGTCTGGTCTGATTGGAAACTCCTACACACTCACAAACACACAGTGGAACAATTCCATTCCATGGGATCAGACAGGTCTGGGGTTCAAATCCGGCGCTATCACTCAGAAGCTGTGTGACTTAGGGGAAGTTACTTGCCCTCTCCGGCCCTCTGTTGCTTTAGTGAGACTAAAAATGGCTATGCCACAAGGTAAATAAGAAGTTTAATGAGAGTCAATGAGCTGAAACTCCTCTGACCTAAGTGCATCATAATGGTTTGTGAGGTGAGTAATAAGAATCCAAACAACTTGGAATTCTTTTAAAATAAGCATTTTGTGTGTGTGTGTGTAATTCCTCGTATCCTTCCCAGCCTCCTATTAAGGAGAAGGACCTTGATCTAGGAACAAAACAAAACAAATTTTAAAAAGGAAAAAATGAAAATAAAGAGAGAACAGGGGCCCTGCAATCGAGCAGGCTTGGTCTGCATCTCTGCCATGCCCCCTTACACACATGGAGACAGGGACAAGTAGTTAGCCCACCAAGAAGTGACGATAAATGGAAGTTCAAATAAAGTAAAGTATATAAAGAAAAGACATACAGAAGGCGCTGATTACATATAAATTCTCGCACCCACCCCTACCTCACCTGGGCACTGGCCCGGCTTTTTCTGAGCTATTTATTTTCTGACCCTCCTTCAATATTCACCCCCAAGTTTTTAAAGCTCCTTTAACTTTGGGATTTAGATGAGGGCCATTCACAGACCATTTAATATTTATTCTGAAAAGTTTCTGTGTGGTAGGGACAAATACCTACTTAATCCTAACCACTTCCTTAGCTTTTCAACTGTGACTAGTTGATATTTTAGTGAAATCTCTCTTTATATAGACCCGCGATTTCTAGATGGTTATCTTTGGGGGTGGATTAGGATTCTGACGACAGAAAGAGCTGCTTCCCCTGTTTTCTTTTCCGCGGGGACAATGAGCGGGTCTGTAATGCCCCACGTGCTCACCCTGCACTTTACATGGGGATTTCAGCAGGGCGGTTCCGAGGCCTCTCGGAGGCGGGATCACAGCCTGGGGTGGAGTTGACACAGCTGTGGGCCGAGGGCCTCTGGAAGCCACAGGGGAGCGCAGCCCGGCTCTGGGAAGAGGTCCGGAGGGGCAGCCTTGCGTGCAGGGCGCTGAGTCAGCTCCCACCACAGGAAACCCATCATTTTCACCTTTTAGGAGCCGGAGGGGCTGCCTTTGTCATTCAAAGTACATTGTGAATCCAGTCTCTCAAGAAACCAGAGCAATGGCTCCATTTAGGGTGGTCTCTAGCCTTAATTTACAGAAGAGGGTGGGGCTGTGAATTTAGGGAAGGGAGATAAGGAACTGTATCTCCTTCAGCATTTATAAACTCCACAGTAACCTTGAAAGGCCCCCCCCCCCCCCCCCCCCCAATTCACTAATTGAAGAACTGGTCACTCAGAAGTTAGGTACTTTGCTCAGGGTCACATATCTTTGACCCAGTTTCAGAAGGTTTGACACTATGGCCTTTGCTCTCTTGACTACACTGTGGTTCTACCATAGTTTGCACTGCTTCTTCGTTCGCTCGCTCGTTCATTCATTCATTCATTCATTCATCATTCAGCAGTTAACACTACATAAAAAGCATGCTGCTGCACCAAACTGTTAAAAGTGATTATTTCTCAGAGGAAGGATTACAAGAGAATTTCACTTTTTACCCTGAATGTTAAGCATTGTTACTTTTCTAATTGATAAAGACAATCCCATTAAAATAATTACTTTTTTTTGTTGTTGTTCGTGAAAAAGAAAATAAATCAAACGGAGCCCTCAAACATTTATTGGATCTGCTATGTAGCAGGGCCCACTTATCTTCACTTGCTGGCACTGGGTACATGCCTTCCCAGCAGGTCCTTTAGTTTATAGAACACCCTTCAGTTTGGGTTCAGGGACAGGAAAGTGGCAGGCAGGGTCCAGATGTGGGGTGAGACTCACTGAGGCCGTCATGACCCACCAACTCCAGAGCAGCAGATCACTGAGGACCCAGGCTCTCCCTTCAGGCAGGGGGCACGTTCATGACCAACCTTTATAACGGCACACTCAGAACAAGGCCCCGGGAAAGATATCCAAAGTGCCTACAGGCCCTCTGGGGAGCAGGAGCACAGAGGAGCATAATTGAGCAGAAGGCTGTAAGCCAAAGTCCTCCCATCTTCCCTGCACATCAGTAATGCAATAATGTCATCAATTTGCTGCAGAACTTGCAACAAAGTGATTGCTCTTGTTCAGTTAATTAGCAAAAGAGAGATCAAGGACTTTAATCTCTTGCCTTCTCTTTTACCTGCAAAGTTTATTTACTCAGAAATGAACAAAAGATTTCATTATATATATCACCCCCTCTTCACCCCGATCCAAGTAAGTTTAAGAAGACTACCGGCAGGGACTACCTCAGTCAGCACCACATGACACCCATAAAATCAGAGGACCTTACAGATTTCTCCACCACTGGCAACTGAGGAAACAGACCTAGAGGGGGGCAGTGATGTGCCAAGGAAATGGCCTGTGAGTGGGGCTGGAACACGGGTTCCTGTTTCTGTGCATGACTTAAAACACGAGGGGCTGTGACACCCAACCACCAAAAGGACAACACCTTCAGGGAGCACAGGCGAAAGGTCGTGAAGGATGGTTGGGCTTTTGATATAAGAAAAGGCAGGGCCCAATATCCTGTCAGAAGAGAACTATCAAGGCCAAAGACCGCTCTGATTTTCAGAAAGAGCAGAGGCTGTCCAACACCCACCCCCCTGTTGGAGGCTTGCATCCCTTTCAGAGCATACTTATAAAGAAGTCGACTGGCCTCTGCTGGACACAGAGAGGGCAAGCACCTGGTCCCAGGTCACAGAGCACCTGATCTTGGTCAGCCTGGAGTCTTCCTCCTTGCCCTTCTCCCGCTTAGTCTCCCTACGACCGTCATAGCAGTGCTGACAAGGAGAGTGCTTATTATGGGCAGATGGATGCCTCAGCCCAGTGGCTCTGCAGCCAGCAGCCAGCCCTGCGTGGGCCGGGAACTTCAGGGCCCTCGGTCTCTGGACAGTGTGAAACTGGAAAACTTTCCAAGCCAGAGCTGGCACCCAGGTAGTACCCTCTCTCTGCTTTCTCATGGTTAACCGGGACACTTAATCCCGGTTTCTTAGGCAGGTTTGTGAGGAAGCAACAAGGGGCAGGACTGGCACAGTCCCCGGCACTTAGTAGGTAGCCAACTGGTGCTGTGTTAGTTTAAACCTTTCTTTTTTTTTTGTGTCCATCTTTGCATTTTTGCCTGCCTCCGTCTCGACCTGGTATTTCTGTCTCATTGTGTCTGTCTGCATCTCTGTCCACATAGCTCTGTATACCCGACGTCTGTCATGCAGGTTGGGACAGCAGCCCTCAACCCACGCACACCCCAGCGGCGGGCAGCGGGGCAGAAGTGGGGTTGCCTGAGCCTTGGAGCCGTGCCAGGCCCCCAACAACCCCGAGCGCCCCATGCACCCGGCCCTTCCGCCCCTGCAAGCGGCCCAAGCAGGCACATTAATCAGCATCACCAACGAAAGGGAAAAAAACAACAACAACACAAAAATTAGGAAGAAAGAGGGACTTACCGTTCGCTGCGACCCCCAGGCTGGCGGAGCCACTTTTAACTAAGAATGAATTAGGGACAAACTCTTCCTCAGAGTCTGAGTCCGGGGTTGGCTGGGCCACACCGTTGCCTAGCAACCGCCTCTGGCTCTCATTGGCCGGAGGGGAGGGGGGCGGGGAGGGGGACTGCTCAATAGGGGTTGATGAAGCGGATGAACAATGCAAGGGAGCACCTGCGAACCACAAAGACAAACACAGACAGAAAAAAATAATGAAAATTGGTTTTGAGGCACACGGGGAGGGGGAGGGAGCAAAATAAAACACGCATCAACGGGGGAGGGGGTTCTCAACACTGAGCGATCTACTGCACACGTGGCCCGAGGGGCGGGGCTGATGCCGCTGGGACAGAAAGTTGGTGCAAACTCCTTCTGAAGAGCTGGGCCCTCGGAGCAGAGAAGTCTGCAAGGTTTGGAAAGAGGGCACCCTCGAAAACACAGGGGAAGCCCTTCTTGTTCTCTAAGAGAGACCTGAGAACCTGGGGACTAGTCCTGGCTGGCCTTGTTATCTATGGAACAGCTGCCCCTTCTGTAATGTCACAGAACTGAAATGATGTTATTCTTAGTTCGATTTCCATCGGACATGCCTGGAATGGGTTCTGGGCCTTCTCAAAGGCAGAGAGAGCTGGAGATAATGATCCACCCCCCCCCCCTTCCCTGCTAGCATTCTAGGACTTCAACATTACTGTTTTACTTTTCTAACAATCTAACATATTAAGATTCATAAATCCTGGCATTGTCTCCAAACTCCTCGAGAGCAATAACTTTAGCAGTCTCTTTCACTTCTATATGCCCAGATTCTAGCATAATGCCTGGCACACATTAGGCACGAAATATTTGCCGGACAGATGAATTCCAGGTATCTAACATACTGGGATCCTTAAATTCTAACAGTCTCAGGTGAAACAAGTCTATCATTTTGGGACACTAATACTCAGTGAGTTCTAAGATACACTAAGTCAGTATGTTTGACTCTCGGTTTCTAACATGTCAGGAGTCTACGATTCTAAAATCCCAGCTCTTCAGAAGGAGAAGGTGATGGCCCAGGACACGACCTTTGAGATGAGATCATTTCCAGTCTTATCAGGGGCTGGCCCTTACACATGTGCAGTACATGGTCTACAAGAGAGGGGACATAATAAGCATAGACACAGAAAAGTTTACAGTACAAGACATTGCATCCACACGACAGCAAAGGCTGCTTCTTTTCTCCCACCGTGACTGATAAAAGTTTTTCAAAAATAATCAGATCCATTCGGTTTTTTAAAGAGACCACATCTTAGGAAACATTGCAGCCCAGACACGTGATCATAAGATTTGGCAGGGCTCTCGGGGGCAGGGGGCAGACCTGATGGTTGTTGAAACAAACAAACAAACAAACAACAAATAAATAGCTTTTTGTGGTCTGTCCATCAAGAGAAGCTCATTCAGTCACAGGATTTGCAGTCTCCGTGACTCTGATGTCAAGCCCTGAGCCATGTGTGACATTTTGGAGTTGTTGTGTGTACCGTTTACCTGGTTCATACTAGAAATTCACTAAGAGCAATTGAGGCAGCAGGAATCAGTGACCACGGCACAACCTCTGTGTAACTTCCCCCTTTTTTTTTTTTTTATCCTCACCCGAGGACATTTTTCCATTTTTTGTTCAGGTAGAGTGGGAGGGAGAGAGAGGAACAGAGAGAGAGAGAGAGAAACATCGATGTGAAAGGAACACACCGAGTGGCCGCCACCCGCATGACCTACCAGGGCCGGGGACAAACTGCAACCGAGGTACGTGCCCTTAGCGGGAACCGAACCCGGGGCTCTCAGGACGGCAGGCTGACGCTCTAACCGCTGAACCAAACCGGCCAGGGCCCATTTTTTTTTTGAACCTAAAACTCCAAGTTGTGATTTGCCTCAAAATCATCTGAACCAGTACTTCCAGTTCACCATGAGCAAGCCTTCCCTGACAAGTCACCAGAGGGGTAATCACTCCTCTCTGGAAGCTCGTCTTTAGTTCTGACATCACGTTTGCCCTGTTGTATTTGTAGTTATCTGTGCTGTCTCACACATAACAGTATATGACACACTTTGGGGGTACAGTACATTCTTGGAGTGGGCTTTGGAGTTCCACAGAACTGGGTTTGCATTCATGACCTAATCTCCTATCAGTCTATGATCTTGGGGAAATGACTTAACAGTTATTCATTTGTAAGTTGGGCACGCTTCTCCCTTTACGGAGGTGTTGTGAGGACCTCAGATACTAAACCTGACCACTCAGTATGCATGAGTAAGCACGAGCCAAGGTCAGCACTCACCAAATATTTATTACACGGAATGAAACTACCCCATGGAGAATCCCATTCATGATTGGTCCCAGTTTTAGAAAGATTTTTTTCCAACCAGGCTGTATTTATTAAGGAAATATACTTTCATTTTCTCATATTTTATTAACCAAAGACATCTTATACTGTCAGTCAGAGCTTCTGATGAGCTCGAGATAGCCAGCACCATTCCACGCTGAGCTGTTGGAATTTCAGACAAAAGTTAAGAGAAGTGATATGTTGTTCCCGGGTATTTGTTCCAGCCTCTTCCTGAGGAAATCTGTCAACTATGGAATAAACAGTTCCAGAACCAAGTAAGTTGTTCCACTGCAAACTTCAGAGACCCGGGGCTGGGAGCCGCTCGGTGCCCTCCCAGGCCTCGTGCCTGTTTCTTCTCCCTTCCACCCAGTCGCCTCAAAATTGTCCAATCCAGTGTTCCCAAATCAGCCAGGCCTCCAGGGTTGTTCTGAATATCCCTAACCTAACATGCAAGGCACCTGACAAGGTGCCAGGCCCTTAGCAGGTACACAGTAACTCATGAGGTCTCCGGGAAGTAGTGTTATTGGAAACATGTGAATTCCCTTCCTCTTATTCATCAGCAGCTTTTTTAAATAAAATGTTTTTATTGATTTTTTTAGAGAGGAAGGGAGAGAGAGAAACATTGTTCAGCTGCCTCCTGCACGACCCCTACTGGGGACCAAGCCCGAAACCCAGACATGTGCCCTGACTGGGAATCGAACCTGGAACTCTCAGTCCATGGGACAATGCTCAATCCACTGAGCTACATTGGCTGGGCCATCAACAGCTTTTAAGTGTTCCCAAGGTAGAATGCACAGAACCATGTTCCTGGGGTGTAAGAAAATATGAGAAGTACTTATTTTTTTTAATCTCATCCTTATCTAATATTTAATTGTATGTTTTATATTTTATACATTAGAGCTCAAAATGCATGTAGTACAACGCCTTGTTGTACCATTTGGCATCTACAGAAGCAGGGCAGGGTCATATCAAGAATATAGTAGTGCCCTGACCAGTTTTCTCAGTGGTTAGAGCATCTGTCTGCCAAATGAAAGGTCGCAGGTTTGATTCTGGTCAAGCGCACATACCTGGGTTGGAGGTTTGATCCCTAGCCCTGGTTGGGGTTATGTGGAAGACAACTAATCTATGTGTCTCTCTCACACTGATGTTTCTCTCTCTTTCTCCCTCCCTCCCAGTCTCTCTAAAAAGTCAATGGAAAAATATCCTTGGGTGAGCATTAACAGCAGAGACTACATTTGACTTTTTAAAACATTCATAAAGCTTCATTTTTGTATGTGCTAAATGTTAGGAACTGTGGATACTTGACTTTTAATTGCACTGCTTGCTAGCTCAGTACACGTGACCTTGGGCAAGTTATTTCACCTGTGTGCCTCAATTTCCTCATCTATATAATGGAGATTAAAAAAAAAGAAGAACACCTACGTCACAGGGCTGCACCGCAGATTAAAGGAGTTAAAACAGGTAACATGTTGAGAACAGGGTGGCAGCCAGTAAACACCTAATAAACGTTAGATGTCACGATGTGTAAATATGTGTATATAAAGTGAGGGGCGCTGACTTTCTTCATCTTTTTTTTCTTTTTATAAGCGCAGTGCACTATTGCAAATGTATGGGAAACACTGTTTCATTCCACAAACATTTCCTAGACACCACTGACTTGGCTGGGAGGTGAGAGTGATACAATCTGTGAGAGTCTCAGCCCAAAGGAGCTGGTGGCGGGAGGGGAGTGTCACTGGGAGCGCTGAGCAAGGCCGTGGTGGGATCTTTCAGGACAGAAGACAGCCCAGTGCAGTGGGAAGGTGAAGGCAAGAGGCTCATCTCAACAGAAGGAACTGGAAAGGCTTTCTGGAGCCACAGAGGATTTCAGTGGGGAGAGATGAGGGATGGGGCATAAGCATCCATGGAGGGATGAATACCTGGCTTAAGGCTCTCATCCTTTACCTGGTCTCCAGCACCCCACCCTCACCCATTACCTCTCAAGGATCATGTATTAGTTACCAGTAACTTCTCACCAGTTCTACTGAGATATGCCAGCCTCCTCTCATTTCCAGGAGCTCACTGCTTCCTCTTTTGCCCAAGTTTACTGAGTTGTCCATCTTCAGGGCACCAGGTACACCGAATCTATCTGAATAGCATCCCCTGGAGCACGACTATGATGTTTTGCCCGCATTTTTGCACATATTGTTTCTTTCCCCTGATCACTTCTTTCCGTGTCCCTTTTCTTCATTATTACCACGGTCTGTGTCTCACTAGCTCCCACTCATCCTTCAGGCTAAACCTTGGTCACCTCCCCCAGGAAGGCTTCCCAATGCCTTTCTGGTGCTCCCACAGCTCCCTGTACTTTCTCTGTTGCAACACTCCCACACTGTAGTGTTCACTTCTCTGTGTCTGTGCCCTAGCCTGCCTGGCTCGCCTGTTACCCTATTTCCCAGTGCCCAGCACAGTGTCTGGTACATAGAAAGCACTAGTGAATATTGGCTAAGTGAAGAAAGGGAGCTAGGAAGGAAGGATAGTACCTGGGTTATGGAACAAAAGGTCAATGTAAAGACAACAGTGAGAAATGAGTCTCTGAACAGTAGGTTTAGGCCTTGAACACAAGGAGAAGGAAACCAGACCTTAACTGGGCAGTTGTGGCAATTTTTTTTATCCTCACCTGAGGACATTTTTCCAGTTTTTGTTCAGACAGAGTGGGAGGGAGAGAGAGGGAGGGAGAGAGAAACATCGACGTGAAAGGGACATATCAAGTGGTTGCTACCCGCATGGCCAACCAGGGCCGGGGACAAACTGCAACCGAGGTACGTGCCCTTAGTGGGAACCCAACCCGGGTCTCTCTGG